CCTCCTGGTTGTTGGTACTCATTTGTAGTCAAAGCCTCCTGCACCCCTCTAAGAGAGGTACCTTCTACAAGCAGAATGTTTCCTCGTAACAGCTGATCGTGGCAGCTCGTTTTTAACGAAGGCTCAGCATGTGGCAGACTCCACAGCCGCTATACTCTATCAAAACTTGTTTTCACATTACGTTACTGTAACCCAGGGGGCAACTTCAGAATAGTACAGACTCGAGGTGTTATTTACTCACTAAGCCTTAAGTTTTTAAGTGCAGTCACATTTCATAATGCTTTCATCTGCCAAGCTGTCAGTGATCTACACTCCTTCCCAATAAAGTACTAGACTGTAACAGCAGATGACAAAGCATATAGCAATTGAATGACAAGGCCCAGTCTCAACCATTCCATACGAATTCTGACCTCTGACTCTTTTTAACAACTCTTCATCCTAGCCCCTGGTGTTTTATTTTTAATTCAGCAGTACTGGTATTTTAGCTGATCTCTTAGAGCATAGTGAGACACGCCGAAGCAAAGACTTACTGAACAAAAGTAGACATGGTAGGAAAGAAACCAAAAACCCCAAACACATTACTTACTTGACTAATTAAAACGAGCCAGCCATATTGTTCCCCTGGTTTTGCAATGACACAAGCAGATCATCCATTTTCTCAATATTCTGATTGGTTGCCATAGCTGTAGGTAGCGGAGGAGTCTCGGATATCTGCTGGGAGAGCAGCGCTGGCACTGCTGCCTGTCCCTCGCTCTGCGGCTGACCTGGCTGACTTATCGCCATCAACTCATCCGGCAACGTAGCTGGTCCAGAAGTTAGCAGCTGCCCACAGTCTGTTAAGCAGTAAGCGAAGAACAAAGGAGCATTTAAATTAGGTTAATGCATGCAGTGAATTAGTCAACTTCTTTACATATTTCCATACCAACTATGAACGGTGTAGAAAGTTACATGCACTTTTGTTCATGTGACCGACCACCTTTGCTCACCACGCCCTCAGGGTATAAGCCCCAGTTCAAGGTGTAATATTGAATATATGCACCCTGTATTATGACCGAACACTACTAACACCCCAAACAGAGGACAACACATAGCTAGAAGAAAATCAAAATGTACGGCGTAAGTGTTGAGTAGGCCCATCCTTTGCCTTCATTAATTAGAGATGTGTCTTTTCTAGTTCAGCCAAGGTACCCACTGGCTCCTTCTACAAATCTGCAAATGGTGTCACACCTCTTACTACTTCTAGCACTGTCTTCAGCTTCTTGGAAAGGTATGGCCTGATTGTCAAAGAGTTCACGCGGCAAAGCACGTATTCAGGTATAACCACAGACCCAGTACACAGCTATGGCTTTCTGTCCAGCTCTTTTAGCAGATGCTGTCATCACCATCTGCCTCTGCTACTTCTGGAGCTCCACAGGTATGTGCAGCCCTCTACAGACAGACGGAAGGATCTACGTCCCAACTTGTCCGAGAGGCTAGATTCAAAGATGAGATACAGAAAAGTGCCAGCTTACAAAGTTAAAGGTGTTTCAAATGCACTTCAGTAGACACTTCTCTGAAAAAGAGAAGCTTAAAAAAAACCTCTTTCTTTGAATGTGTGGAGAAAGTCATTGCATAAATTGTGGAAATCAAATGCAGCAAGAGAAAGATCAGTGGAACCGTCCCAAGAGGGTGTAGCTTTTTTTCCTAAACATGTGTGTACATGTATTTTATCTGTTATTTCCATATGTAATTATAATAATATTATATATAATATTTTATATAAATATACTTCTAAGTATATTCTAAGATGCTTTTGTCACATGTTAATCCCAAGGGTAAGAAAGCCAACACGTATTTAAGTTAAGAGTTCTCAACGTAAGTGTACATTCAGAGCAACATGATGAGTATGTATGTTCTCAATCGTAGTGCTACATTAGTTATTTCAGGATTTATTTATTTTTTTCTGGTAAGGAAATATTTTAGAATTGAATAATCATTGCCTTGTGGACTCCCAGTAGTAGCTCTTCTAAAATAGAAACTCAGAATCAGGCATCTACCACTTACTGTTTTGAATGCCAAACAGGAATATTCCTGATGTTTGCTGAGATGAAGCAGGAGAATTCTGCAGCTGGTTGATAGCACCTCCTGCTGTGTTGTGAAAGAAAGCAGCTTGCTGCTGGGGAGGAGAAGCAGTTCCTTGCCTTCCTGCCATGCTGTTTTGAGACGAGTACATCGGAGACTGCTGCAGCTCTTGCTGGCTCATACTATTCTGCAAGGCAGACATGGAAGCGGAAGAGATGAAGAGGGTGACTTGCTGCTCTTGAGAACTTGGTGACCCTTGGACCAACTGAATCTGGGGTGAGTTATGGAAGATGGCTGGCTGCTGTGCTTCAGTCTGGTTGGATCCAGGATTCTGAAGAGAAGACACTGTAGTCTGACTCTGGAATTGCATGGGCTGCTGCTCCTGGTTCATCGATGCCATGTTTGTCTGTGGATGAAAGATGGACTGGCCTTGTTGCTCCTGATTGGCAACTGGGTTTTGATTTGGATTGAAAATCATGTTCTGCTTTTGAGAAGCAATTGTACTCATTGCATTTTGATTACTGAACATCATGTTCTGCTGTTGCTGCTGTTCTTGAGACGGAGGACTACTCTGAATAGCAACTATCGAATGCTGAGGCTGGAAGATAGCTCCTTGTTGGTTCTGGGGAATTGAACTGGACTGGATGGAGCCTAATGACACTTGAGACTGAAACAAACCTTGCTGAGCAGGCTGAGTCTGGGGCTGTTCTTGGGGAAGCATAGAACTCTGGATATGAGATATCTGTGTCTGCTGCTGGAAAGAAGTCTGCTGTTCAGTGTTTGTTGCTGTCTGAAGAGGAGAAATGGAATTTGGGCTTGTAAAGAACGACATCTGTTCTTCCTGAGTTGCAGCATTGCTCATTGAGCTCTGGGAAAGGAACATGTTGGCAGACTGCTGGTCTTGAGGAACTGAAGAGCTCTGTAATACACCCATGGCGTTCTGCGAGTGGAACATGGGAGGCTGCAGTTGGTCTGAGGAATTAGCACTGGTCTGGTTGTGGACAATGGAATTTGGACTGTGAAAAATAGAGCCTTGTGCTTCCTGTGATATATTTTGAGCATCACCAATAGGATTCTGAGAGTGAAAAAGCTGAGCTTGTGAATGTGGAGACTGTTGCATAAAGCTTCCCGACTGAATAGACATGATTTCTCCACCTTGCTGGAACAGACCACCTCCTTGTTGTTGAGTTCCACTTGCTTGAACAGTCATCATGTTTTTGGTAGATGAAAAGAGATTAACTTGTGATTGGCTTTCTCCACTATGCTGCATTTGAACCATGGTCTGAAACACAGTACTTTGCATCTGTTTACTCTGGCCTGAAGCTTCTTCTCCATCTGCAGAATTTGATGCCTGAAACATAGCAGGTCCATTGTTGGAGACCTGCTGCTGAGCAGCAGGAGTAGTCTCGCCTCCAGAAACACCAGGAGATGAAGAGAATAATTCACACTGCATTTGCATGTCCTCGCTTGTTGATAACCCACTCATTATATGAGAAGCCTGCTGGTAAACAGGTGACTGTTGCAGGGCTCCATTCCCCGAAGTTGTTGAAGAGAACAAATCGGACTGCATCTGTGTTGCAGCTTGGCAGATGTTTTGTTGGATTCCTATCACCATTGCTGCAGAAGTCTCCATTGCCTGCTGCTGCTGCTGTTGTTGTTGCTGTTGATTGGACAACGCATTTTCAGGCTGTGAGTGAACATTTTCAGCTCGTCCAGGCAAAAGGTTCTCTGGTCTGGAATGGACAGCCGTGTCTGAGGAGGAAAATATCCCAGAATTGACACTATTTTGTATCTGGCTGACTTGCTGAAAGATATCTGCGTTTAACTGATCTTGAACATCCTCACTGCTGTCTGAACCAGAAAATAAAACAGAAGATAACTGCTGTTGAGCTTCCAATACCTGCTGCACCAAGTCAACGTTTCTATTGCTGCCAGTGGCAGTGTTAGTCGGAAAACTTCCCGCTTGCAGTTGCTGTATAGTGTTCTGTAACTGACTCACGCCGCTTGCTGATGAGAAAATACTTGATGAAATCTGCTGCTGCAAAGCCTGTGCTGGTTCGGAGAGAGTAGACTGTTGTTGTTGTGATGCATCAGTTAACTGTGACAAAGTGACTACTGTGCCATCTGATTGCAAGACTTCCCTGGTCTGGGAATCTCTTGTTTGGAACTGTGCAGCTTGCTGCAATAATGCATCACTGTTCTGCAGCTGACCCGGAGTAGAGACTGCTGAAAAGCTACCAGGCTGGGAAATGTCCTGTGTCTGGATAGTAGTTAGTGTCTCTGGATTATACACCTTCGGCTGTATTTGTTGCTGGTTTTCATTTTCTGAAGGTAAATGGGAAGCAGAAGTTGATATGCCGGACATACTGTTTTCCAATGTTTGTTGAGTTGGTCCAACCACATTTGAAGCCTGGAAAGAGCAACCCATTAAGCAATTCGTAAGCTTACTCAGGTGATACTCATAAAATTTCCACTAATCCACTATGTTCAGGAAAGATCAGACAGAGGATTTGACAGCTATGTATCTCTCCATACATAACCAAACAAGTAAGCAAATGCCTAGCAGTGGAAATGCTACTTCAAGGAAGGAGTGAAGGTGAAATTTAATGAAAGCAATGCTAGGAAGTGATTAAAATAACATTCTTACAATAATGTACTAGTTCTGTGTCACAGGACAAAAAAAAATCATCACGGTATCACTAACCAATCAATCTGTTTGAAGAAAGAACAAGATAACTTACTTTCAAAGGAAACTGTCTATTATTTGAATTATGCTCTGTGATCATATGTTTTGCCCAAACCTGTCTCAAACATGACATTTTCCCTGTGTGTTACTCTTCTCCACGATCAGAACACGGACTGATGGGTAGACGTAACTAAGACTATTAGAGCTGCTGTCTTCAAATTAAAAACTCACCTTGAAGACAGGGGGAGATCTTTTTTCTGCGCTTACTTCCATTGGAGCCACATCTTCATTCTTAATCATACTGCTTGGCATGAGTGGAGTTATCAAGGCACTAGGAAGAATGTTTACCTTCTCCAGGTTACAACCAGTGGCCTTCACTGCTGCAGTCACACATAAAAATAAAAGAAGGGCAACAGAATGTTAACATTCACTATGCAAGGAGCGGGTTTCTAGTGGTGGCCTGCTTCCCGTTTCACTTTTCAGCCCTACCGTAAGAGCTCCCATCCTCATATAAGATGCTAATATGCAAAGAGATCATTGCAAACGTACTTCAAATAATCCTAGAAAACCTGAAACCTTCAAAGGTTATGTTTAAGACTAGCAGCACTGTCACAGTCTTGTTTTCCTTCCATTTCATATCCTTCTAGACCAGGACAACCATCCATCAACTGCTTCAACTACAAACATAAAAGCTTAAGACATCTTTCCACAAATGATGAGATTTTAAACTTTACCGCACTTCAACTGTACGACTTCTCTATTTCATTTTGAAAAATGTCTGTTTTCAGATAACCATGTGAACAGAATGCTCAAAGCATTCAGACTATATTTTTCTTCTGTTAAAGGACTAGTCAAGCAAAAACTTCATAAATCTGCATGCCAGCTCTGTAGCAAGAGCAAGTTGTTATTTTGTATTCGCAGTTCCTATTTTTTCTATTTTTTTTTAAATTAGGTGGTTTCTTAAAATTAATTAGATCTTTTTAGTTTCCTGATCCACATAAAAAATATTACATAAGCTGAGATCTTCGCTGTAAATGAAATTGACTTTCCTGCATTGAAATACTGCTGAAACTGAGCTTAAAACAAACCAATAGGAAAGCCTGTAAAAAACATAGTTTCGTAAGTACTTTTAAGTAAATTAAAGAATTAATCTTCAACATAAACCAACAAATCTCCATGCTTTAAACAAATTTAAATCTTGACAGTAAAATCTCTGCAAATTTGTATCAACAGTATGCCATGTCCTCAGTAACAATCTTTGTGTGTTTATTCTACGTAAAACCAAAGACTCTCGCCTAAAATGCTATATTCTGTCTTAAGCAATAAATTCTCAGCCATCAGTATGGCAACAGTCCTCAATATACCAAATAACCCCTTTCCCTCCTTCTGTTAACCCACAGGTTTGGGGTGGCTCCAGAAATACAAGCCCCATGACCTGACATGTTGAGGTGTGCTGCTGGCAGGGAATGCAATTTGAGTGAGACTATTCTAAAATATGTCTACTTCAGGACAGCTAGTTATACAGTGTATCTAAAGACAGCAGTCAATATTTTTCTATACCATACTCACTATTTGTAACCCTTTGTCTTCTATGTGCTTTATCATGTTGCATTCATCAGAAACAATAAAAAAATATGCAAGCAATTAAAGAAATCCTACTGGCATACAGATTAGATTCTAGCAATGGTATGTTCATTCACAGTGACGTATTTGGTTGGAAGAATAAAAAAAAGAAGCGAGATTAATAATGAAACAGAAGTTTCAAAAGCAGAGAAACACTGTTGGTTTTGGTCTTTTACGACATTTTGTAATAGACTTTGTTCAGAACTTCTGAAGAGT